AATTCTACAGTCTCGACCAAAACGGGCATGGTCTGCCTTTTTGTCTACTTTTCTCTAATATTCGACGATGAAAATTGTGCAACTGCCATTGAAAATGATAGAAATAACGTGTAGGAGTTAGAATGACCTGTAGGGTTGTATATAAACACGGACAAATGAGAAAAACTGTTTTGTACTGAGGTCAAAAGGAGCCCTTAGCAGCTTCAACTTCATGATTGTCGCCCGCATCAGTGGTTATAACTGATGTATTTTTTTATACTTCTTGCATATAATTTCTTGCTATAACCCTACATGGGTGCAGGTACTGCCGCAGGAATCACTGAATCATTGTTATCATGCTAAAACAATGAAGCCATCTTCCCATCTGCAGAGCTTCATGTTCGTGCAAGAAACGATGCAATATCTAAGCACGCCCAAAGTTTTCATTAGATCAACTCAAGTTATCAGCGGGAGGCGAGAAATTCTGTACAATAGAAGTTAAATCCTACCTGCTGAGGCTGCGCCTGTGGTGAAATTTGGTATGTTGGTAGTGGCTGATAAGCAGGTACTGGTGGTAGTTGTGGTAGTTGAATTGGGGGTGGCTGTAGAAGAGGCTGCGAAGGAGGTTGGAATGGCGGCTGAGGTGGACCATAACCAACACCCTGCTCTTGATAGCCTAGGCTTGGCTGCACATTTATTCTTTGAAGAGGTTTTGGAGCATAAGGTTGCGCTGGCTCGGGCTCAGAGCCATACTGAGGAGCAGGTTGTACCTTAAAATAATCAAACAAGGAGAAGTTGAATTAATGCTGACTAAGATAGAATTACGCTGTGTGTTCTAAGAACTGTATTGGTTGCTCACCTGAATGGGTCGGATATTCAGTGGGAGATTGTAGGTCGTTCCCCTGTTTGTTGCTTGACTTACTTGGCCGACATTTCTACAATATTTAACATTTAGTTCTCAAAAGATCAACTCGTCGGGATATACACTTACAAAGAATTTTTTGGACTTTAACCAAACAAAGATACTTACCCTTTTTGAGGATTAACATTGTTGGTATCAATGATCGTCACAGGTCCTTCGCTTTCCCCATGATCCTCCTCAAGATTCGAATAACTTGATGCAGGCTTAC